GGCTGAGTTTGTGGAGTAGGTCAGGACGAAGACTTTTGATCACGAGTTCGATTTCTCCTATCAATACTTTCTTGGTTGAGCCTGTCGCACCGGACTTATTTAGTGCAGTTTACTTACCCGGCGTGATTTGCAGGCTATTGCGTCAACCCGAGAGTTTACCTAGTGCGCACCCGAAGGGTAACAACTCCGGATTCTCCCGTCATTTAAAAAAAAATGCTTATTGAAATCTAATGTGGATGGATTTCAACCAGTCGATAGATGGCTCAAGCAACTTATAGGTCTTAGGCGAATTTGGGGAGGGGTCTTATAAATAACAACAACAATAAAATTAACGAAGCAAATAATGAGTGATAGAAATTCCAACGTAATGATCGAAGATATTATCGTTGGAGATTTTAACGAAAATTAATATCTTGGTGATTAAGATATAATTATTGATACCAATCTATCGTTGATCACAATGTACCATCACTGACGTTAAAAATTACCGGCATTTTTGGATTGCCAATGAAAAATGCGTTATCACAAAACTCCAAGTCCCTATTTACATAGGCAAGTGGGTGATGGGAGGTACATTTTCATTTGATGCTCAAACACAAGGCACACCAACACGTTTCACATTAATGTTTTGACACCAACCCAAGTTGGAAAACTTCGTAAAATTGAATTTGTGAGAATCACATGATGATATAAGAGAAATTTAGATAGTGATCATCAATACCTACATTGAAATTAGAATGAAATGTTAAGAACCAATTTATTCACATATTCAAGAATTGAACAATAAATTATCGATCAACATAACAATTCCCCAAATGTTCACCAAACTTTCTTCAGGTTACTATGTACTCATTGAACAAAAAAATATATTTTATTGTTTATGTATCTATGAAAATCTTTCACGCCCACCATTCATCAATAATTTATTTCCTTTCCTTGCCTTAAAAGTCCACTTGGCAGTCGGAAGTCCCATTTGGCACTCAAATGGCATTAAATCCTTCCACAACCAACAAAAATGCAAGAGCCAACACACAATTTTATGCTTGTGGGAACGCTTGACTTTGAATGATGTTAAATTCTTCCACCTCCCTAACCCCATCCCTCAACAAAGACAAATAATGCTATTCATCTAGATTGCGGATAGTCTGCAATCAAAATGCCAATTAAATGGTACTAAGTTATTAAACTTCTCAAGTGTAAAGATAAAGATTTATTTAAGATTCCAATCATGTAACCGAAATCAAGATTACTAACCATCAATAGCTTAGATGAATAGCATTACTCAACAAAGACCTATAGTTCTCATTATCCATCAAACCACCACTATCATCATCACATAATGCCAAGCTACCATCGCCTATCGAATCCATTCTCGAAAGTGGATATGAATTCAATATAAAATCCCACCATTTGGTGAAACCAACTACAACATTCTTCCCCACTCCCCCTGTCATCCCTTCCAACAAATTCCCCAATTTCATCGTCGAGCTTGAATACTGCTAACTGATGTCCAGTCTCTTTACGTGGGTTGCTATTCTGTTCGTTTAGTTGGAAGAATATATTATTGTTGGAAAATGGTTACTATTAGGGAAAGGGAAAAGTTCATAACTCAGGTGTATTGTTTACACCAATTCAATTTTCAAGTCCTAAGTTTAAAAGTGCAAAAATCAGGTATTTATTTATTAATTAAAAATATTTTATTAATTAAATATAATAAGGTCACAACTATAGAACTAATAGTCATAGATACAAAATTTTAGGTTACAATTTATTTATTAGTCACATATCATTAAATTAATTAGTCACAAATTATTTCGATGGTCACTGATTTAAAAATTTATATGTCACAATTTATTTCGATGGTCCCAGATCTAAAAATTTATAGGTCACATATTTTCAAATTTGTTGACGACAATTAAATATTTGGTCACAGATGGTCACATAAGTCAAATAGTGGTCACATACCATTTCCACTGCCATCACGACCACTCTTACCTCGTTATCGTTGCCAAGGTCACATGGTCATAGATAACTAAATAGTTGGTCACACTCGTCAAATAGTGGTCACGGACTACCACTTCCACCACTATCGCACTGTCATTGACGTCACGAGCACTTGCAACCACCCTTACCTCGTCATTGATGCCAACACCAACAAAAACAAAAATCAAGGCAACCACAACCAACAACCTCCACCACCTTCACCAGGAACCACCACACACACTAACAAATACCCAGTTTGATGGAAAATGACCATGACCACCACCACGAAAACACCAACAACACAAAATCAACGTCTCCACCGCTAACACGACCACCGCTGTAACCACACAAATATCACCGCCACCACCATCCAAATCTGAACACACCACCAGATCCAACAAGCCACCGCCATCGCCTCAAAATTTCTCAAAATAAATCTCCAAATCAGTCGTCGAGCAACGCCGATCTCAAAGCACCGGCAATAATGATAATGTTGTCGCTGGATGGTTGTGGTTAGCACAGCCGCCGGATGGTTGTTCTGGTGCCACTTTCTATTTCATAACGTATATAAGCACTAGTACCTGAAAATGAAGATGGATAGACAGAGAGAGAGAGAGGGTGAATTGAAATGGTTAGGGTTGGAATTGGGGGAGATATTTAATTATCATATTCATCCTGGATTTGTGAATAACAAAACTTCATACCATATTTTTCCACTGTAAAGTTAAAACACTGGGAACAGTGAAGCTCTTAGGGAAATGGGTCAAATTTGAGCACAAATTTCAATGGGACCCATACCTTAATTTTAACAGAACCTAGCAAATTCATGTTGTACTTGACGAGATATTAATGTGATATATTTTTTTTATCGAAAATCATTTAAAATTGAATGAAATATTTAGTCCCTATTTGATCTCTATTCTTTTGAAAAAATACATTATTAAACAGTGTTTTGATATCATTTCAACCACACATTTTCAATAAAATAATATTACATATAAATTCAAAACTTTTTCTTATTTTTTAACTACACATTTTTCATCTGTATACTATTCAAAAATGCATTCTTATAAAAAAAAAAATTAGGGCTCAAACAAGGGCTTAATGTCAAATAACCCACTTGAGACTACTAATTAGTGAAAATTTTGATTTGTCAAACACTTATTCTACGTAGGAAAGTTAGGAAAACTTTGGTATGGTATATATGGTGGAACTTTGAGTATTAGGTTCTCGGTAGTGATGGCAATTTACCCCGCCCTGCGCGGGGTGCGGCCTTGAACCCGCCCTATGATTTTTTTTAGGTTAGGGTTCAACTTGCTTCAAATAGAAGGATGTGACATATTTTCTAGTATTTTCAATTGTACAAATCTTATCAATTTTGGCTAATTTATATATATCGTTATGCTACTTTGTCAAATTGATATTATATTGATAAAAACAAATATAAAAAGATATATTATGTTCAACTGAACAAATTTGAAAATCTATATATTGTAATAAATTAAATTGCGTGGGGTTACAACTTTTGTGACAATATCAAAGGAAAAAACACAAAAAAATCTTGATTATCCTAATAATCAATCTTGTGTACCAATAACGACCATTAAATTTAAGATTTGTAGTGTTTATTTTGGATATCAACTTTATCAGTTTGAATGTTATCTGTATTTTGTTTAACTCAGAATTTGACAAAAAAGGGGGGGGGGGGGGGGGGGAGGAGAGGGGGAGAGAGAGAGAGAGAGAGAGGAGATTTTGTATGTTATATTGAGTAAAAACTGTCCATTAATATCATTAAAAAAAAAAATTAAAAAAAAGGGGGGGGGGGGGGATGGGCAAGATACGAGGCAAGCCCATTGCCCCACCACGTTGTTATCACTAGTTCTCGACCCCAAAGGGTACCAATAGTTTTTTAAAAGAGGGAGACCTATATTCTATCGGGTTTGGTCATAACCTACACATGCGCGTCGTCGCCCGACCGATCAGCTTGGCTCAACACGGCACAGCAGAGCACGTGCCCTAGTCAAGTCCGGTTTGTGTTCGGATGCGGGTGGATCCTTGAACTAATTAACTTTTTGGACAAATTTTATTTGAATTTTTGGACCAATTTGTAAGTAATCAAATTCTTGGGTACTTATGGAATTTATTTTGATTGGCTTATTATAAGGTAATTTTTGGTCTAAATGGTCTATTAATTGACTAAATCATCATCTGTTAATCGACTAAACAATCGAATGTTAATAGATTTAACTCACGCAATATTGAACTAAGATGTCTGAATAGTGAGACTATTCTGAAAGGGCTTGGAGTATATATGAATGACCACGAACAAGTCTATAAATAACACGTCCCGCTACCAAAATAATTACACGATTTTCATTGCAAACGTTCTCTATTTTGAATCTCATTCTGATTCTCGAAATGAAAACATTTCATTGAGTTCGTTGGAACTCCTGAGACGAAATTCGTTCTATCTTAAAAAATGATTGCTCAACGCATTTAGTACCTTTGAAGGCAACAAATTTGTTTTTAAGAAAACATCATAAAGTTGGTGGAATCGAATTAATTTTTCTGGTCCTGTTAATCATATTTTCACATTGTACAAATTACGTTAAGGTAATTCTGTCAGATTGTTCGAAGGAAAAACTTATACTCCAGAAACAACAATTTTATCGATTTTGCGCTAAGATGTTGGAGGTTGTGGAAAATGTTTGTGTCCCTACAGGTGCAAAAATGTGTTTTGGCTCATCGGTTTTGTTGTGGTGGCAGGATTAAGAATTTAACGTCATTTGAATGCTAATTGTGATTTTTGTTTGTCAACTGGATTTTTCTATCAAGGAAAGGAAATGGATTCGTAACTAATAATAGATCGAACATGAATGAGTAATGAGATACAATTTTTAATTAATGTGCACCCACATTTTAAATTGGTTGCAATCCAAGAATTGACTGTACACCCCAATCCACCTAATTGTGCCACTCGTTCGCTGCATGAGTCACCTATTAATATAAGCCGACTTGTATTAAATTAACCCCAAATGGCACACTCTCTCTCCATCCTCGAACGCGAATCGATTTTCACTCCCAATTTTCCGCAAAAATTACTGTCCAATTTTCCGCCTTTGATTAATTAGCTCGCAGAATCAATCCCAACATATATAGAGTTCAACGAGTTTTTACAATTACATGTGCGTATATACTATACATATACACACATAATTGTAAGAAACCAAGAATTTTTGTGGGTTGTTGAGACCTCCCGGTGCGAAATCAAGGGCTCGTCTTTTCTCTCACAGCTCCATTTTCTCTCTCTAGAATAATACTTGAAGAAAGGTTTATTTTTATGTCCGCGTTTGGTTTAATTTACGAATCTTCAATTTGATCTGTTGGTTGAGAGGTTTCTCTATGAATTTTGTGTTGTTCGTGAGATGTATTGCTTTTGAATTACAGCAAAATTTGGGAATTTTGGGTTTTTCTTGTTCATTTGACGGTTGTCGAATTTAGGTGATCTGAGAACCCTTGATCTTGATTTGGATTTTTTGGGTTTTTTTGTGGTGGAATTCAGTGGATTTTTTTTTGCTGGATCTGAGCGTTGTGAGCTCGAATAATATAAAATTTTGATTTATTTTTTGGGTGAAATTTTTGGGATTTTGCGGATTAGGGTTAGGGTTCGAGAAGATGGCTTCGAATCCTCCTCCATTCCAGGTGGAGGATAACACTGATGAGGATTTCTTTGACAAATTGGTAGATGACGAAGATGATGTGGACTTCAAGGTTGTTAACACCTCATCGGTAGTGGTAGGCCCCTATTCAGCCGACGGGAACGAATCCGATGAGGCTAAGGCCTTTGCAAATCTGAGTATCACTCAGCTTGATAATAATCGTGAGTCCACTGATGCTAATGACGAAGCTGATAATAGCATTAGTTCTGGGGTTGATGGTTTAAGCAGGAAGTCGGAGAAAGTTGAGAAAATGGTAGTGGGGAATGTGGAAGAGAGTATAAGTACATTAGAGTCAGCAAAGTCATTTGAGTTTGATCGTTTGATACACAAATCAGAGAATGGAAATGGAGAGGCTGAGGTATTGTCCAATACCGAGGTCATGAGTAAGAATGATGGTGGAGTGGGGCCTTCTGGAGTTAAAGAGATGGATTGGAGTGCATTTCATGCTGATTTGGCTCAGAATAATAGTCAAGGGTTTGGATCCTATTCAGATTTTTTCACTGAGTTAGGAGGGGATATTGCTGCTGATGCATTTGGAAATGTGGGGAATAGTTCACAATTTGAGTCCAAGGTTGCTTCTGGGAATGAAGCATATGGATCTGCACATGTGGAGAATTCAACTAACTACTTGCGAAATCAAGAAGGATATAATTATGGTACAGCTTCAGATCAGTGTACAACTGCAGACCAGAGTACAGCCGGGCAGGATATGAATAGCAGTCAGTATTGGGAGAATCTATATCCTGGTTGGAAGTATGATCAAAATACTGGTCAGTGGTATGAGGTGGATGGTTACGATGCAGGTGCGAGCATGCAAGCAAATGTTGACACTAATATGCCTTCTGATGGGGGGCAATCTCACGGTAAGGCAGATGTCTCTTACTTGCAGCAATCTGCTCAGTCGATCACTGAGACTGTAGCTGAGACTGCTACAATGGAGACGTTTACTAACTGGAATCCGGTATCACAGGTGAGTGATATTACGGAAGGCACAGACAATTGGAATCAAGTTTCACAAGTGAATAACGGTGCTCCTGAAGCTGCGTCTGATTGGAATCAGGCTTCTCAAGCAAACAATGGGTATCCACAGCATATGGTGTTTTATCCTCAATACCCTGGTTGGTATTATGATACTATTGCCCAGGATTGGCGCAGTTTGGATTCGTATGCTCCATCTGCTCTTGCTCAATGATTGGAAAAAACTTCGATTGACATGCATTAATGTGTCTAAAAGACTTAAAAACATACTTGAGCCACAAGACTTTGTGAGTAAGATATGTTTCTGCTCTATCTATCTGATCAAATTTAAAACTTATCTGAGGGAAAATGTCTGAGTTTCTTGATATTTCTAATATGATGTCAAGTTGCCTGGGTAAATATCACTCTTCCTATAGTCCTACTATACAGGGTTTTTTCTTTTCTCTTGGAGATGCCTTCTTAGCTTGTTGATTGAGGTATTGCATTCACTAATCTTGTATTTTTTATTCTCTTTGTTTTATTATTAAAGGAAAGTGATGTTCCAGAATCTGCAGTTGCCAAACTCTTTGCATCTGCTAAGAAGAATGGTGCACAATTTAGTCAATATGGTGCTGTTTCCCACTGCTTGCAGCATTTGCCTTCTGAAGGACAACTGCGGGTATTTGATTGTTAACCTGCAAGTTGTTTTTTTGTGCAACATAATCATAATAACTGCCAATTCATGTTTTAGGCCTCAGCTGCTGAAGTTCAAAGTCTTCTGGTTTCTGGGAGAAAGAAAGAGGCTTTACAATATGCACAAGAGGGTCAATTGTGGGGTCCTGCCCTAGTTCTTGCTGCACAACTTGGTGATCAGGTTTGTGAGTGCAATAACTGTTTACTTTGGCTGGCAATTTGAATGGCTTGAATCATGCCTTGATAAATACAATATTTACACTCTTTCCTGTCAATTTTTGCTTATAAAAACTGATTTCCACGGGCCATTGCAGTTCTACGTTGAAACTGTGAAGCAAATGGCACTTCGCCAGTTGGTTGCTGGGTCACCTTTGCGAACATTATGCCTGCTAATTGCTGGTCAACCAGCTGATGTCTTCTCAGCAGATTCAACTGCTGATAGTAGTATGGCTGGTGCTGTAAATATGCCTCACACTGATGCTAATGACGAAGCTGATAATAGCATTAGTTCTGGGGTTGATGGTTTAAGCAGGAAGTCGGAGAAAGTTGAGAAAATGGTAGTGGGGAATGTGGAAGAGAGTATAAGTACATTAGAGTCAGCAAAGTCATTTGAGTTTGATCGTTTGATACACAAATCAGAGAATGGAAATGGAGAGGCTGAGGTATTGTCCAATACCGAGGTCATGAGTAAGAATGATGGTGGAGTGGGGCCTTCTGGAGTTAAAGAGATGGATTGGAGTGCATTTCATGCTGATTTGGCTCAGAATAATAGTCAAGGGTTTGGATCCTATTCAGATTTTTTCACTGAGTTAGGAGGGGATATTGCTGCTGATGCATTTGGAAATGTGGGGAATAGTTCACAATTTGAGTCCAAGGTTGCTTCTGGGAATGAAGCATATGGATCTGCACATGTGGAGAATTCAACTAACTACTTGCGAAATCAAGAAGGATATAATTATGGTACAGCTTCAGATCAGTGTACAACTGCAGACCAGAGTACAGCCGGGCAGGATATGAATAGCAGTCAGTATTGGGAGAATCTATATCCTGGTTGGAAGTATGATCAAAATACTGGTCAGTGGTATGAGGTGGATGGTTACGATGCAGGTGCGAGCATGCAAGCAAATGTTGACACTAATATGCCTTCTGATGGGGGGCAATCTCACGGTAAGGCAGATGTCTCTTACTTGCAGCAATCTGCTCAGTCGATCACTGAGACTGTAGCTGAGACTGCTACAATGGAGACGTTTACTAACTGGAATCCGGTATCACAGGTGAGTGATATTACGGAAGGCACAGACAATTGGAATCAAGTTTCACAAGTGAATAACGGTGCTCCTGAAGCTGCGTCTGATTGGAATCAGGCTTCTCAAGCAAACAATGGGTATCCACAGCATATGGTGTTTTATCCTCAATACCCTGGTTGGTATTATGATACTATTGCCCAGGATTGGCGCAGTTTGGATTCGTATGCTCCATCTGTTCAGTCTGCTCAAGCTCTAGACCAGGTGAATCAGAATGGATCTCATAATAATAATCAGAAGGCATACAGTGGATACAATCAAGTTAATAACTATGAATCCCAGGGTTTTAGCAGCCAAGGCCAAGATCACAACTGGGGTGGGTCCTTCAGTGATTACAATAAACAGAAATCAGCCATGTGGCAACCTGAAACCGTTGCCAAGAGTGACTCTACTTCACAATATAATAGGAACCAACAATTGGAGACTCAGCATAGGCAGGACTTCATCACGAGCAGTCACGGTAGCCAACAAACTGTTGAGTTTGAGAGAGCAAGTTCATATTTTGGGAATGCAAGTCAAAATCAGAATGACTTCTCTACGAGTGCTGTGTCACAAGGTTTTGTTCCTGGTGGGAACTTTAGCGAGCAGTTTAACGAGCCGAGAAACAATCAAAATGAGCACAAGCATGCCTTAAATGCCTACTATGGCAATCAGAGTTCTCTTAACTTTTCACAGCAACAGTTGCAGAGTGCCCATCAATTCTCGTCTGCTCCTGCTGCTGGAAGATCATCTGCAGGCCGTCCTTCACATGCTTTGGTCACTTTTGGTTTTGGTGGAAAGCTCATTGTGATGAAAGATAATAGCTCTATAGAGAGTTCAACATTTGGAAGTCAGGTTAGTTTGAGATTTACATTGTTCTAGTTTTCTTAATAGTATTACTTATAGCTGAAAAATGTTTTTGTATTTTGTGTGAAGAATCCTGTAGGAAGTTCAATATCTGTTCTCAACTTAGCAGAAGTTGTCAATGAGAAAGTTGATGCTTCAAGCATTGGAGTGGGTGGTAGTAATTATTTGCAGGTTCTCTGTAGACAATCCTTCCCTGGTCCTCTTACCAGTGGAAGTGTTGGTGTTAAGGAGTTGAACAGATGGATTGATGAGAGGATAATGAACTCTGAGTCTCCTGATACGGATTACAGGAAGGGCGAAGTTTTGAGGTTGCTTCTGTCATTGCTTAAGATAGCCTGTCAGTATTATGGAAAACTTAGATCTCCTTACGGTAGTGATGCAGCATTGAAGGTACATTACATATTTGTCCTGTAAATGCAGTTGCATTTACTTGAGATTACTGAATATAACTATCATTACATTGGATCCACTTAATTATTTTCAATAGCTCTATCCTTTGCGACACATTCTTGAGTTCTGATGCACTAAAGAAGCACAAGTCTTGCTCAATGATTGGAAAAAACTTCGATTGACATGCATTAATGTGTCTAAAAGACTTAAAAACATACTTGAGCCACAAGACTTTGTGAGTAAGATATGTTTCTGCTCTATCTATCTGAACAAATTTAAAACTTATCTGAGGGAAAATGTCTGAGTTTCTTGATATTTCTAATATGATGTCAAGTTGCCTGGGTAAATATCACTCTTCCTATAGTCCTACTATACAGGGTTTTTTCTTTTCTCTTGGAGATGCCTTCTTAGCTTGTTGATTGAGGTATTGCATTCACTAATCTTGTATTTTTTATTCTCTTTGTTTTATTATTAAAGGAAAGTGATGTTCCAGAATCTGCAGTTGCCAAACTCTTTGCATCTGCTAAGAAGAATGGTGCACAATTTAGTCAATATGGTGCTGTTTCCCACTGCTTGCAGCATTTGCCTTCTGAAGGACAACTGCGGGTATTTGATTGTTAACCTGCAAGTTGTTTTTTTGTGCAACATAATCATAATAACTGCCAATTCATGTTTTAGGCCTCAGCTGCTGAAGTTCAAAGTCTTCTGGTTTCTGGGAGAAAGAAAGAGGCTTTACAATATGCACAAGAGGGTCAATTGTGGGGTCCTGCCCTAGTTCTTGCTGCACAACTTGGTGATCAGGTTTGTGAGTGCAATAACTGTTTACTTTGGCTGGCAATTTGAATGGCTTGAATCATGCCTTGATAAATACAATATTTACACTCTTTCCTGTCAATTTTTGCCTATAAAAACTGATTTCCACGGGCCATTGCAGTTCTACGTTGAAACTGTGAAGCAAATGGCACTTCGCCAGTTGGTTGCTGGGTCACCTTTGCGAACATTATGCCTGCTAATTGCTGGTCAACCAGCTGATGTCTTCTCAGCAGATTCAACTGCTGATAGTAGTATGGCTGGTGCTGTAAATATGCCTCATCAACCTGCTCAGGTATGCATGATTGCATGAATGTTGCTGTTTAATATATGTTTCCCTTGCTACTGTATCCTTGAATAGATTTCAAGTTATCACAAATTAGCAAAATAAGAACGTTCTTGTTCATGAGATTTTTTTGACTCATCGAGAAAAGAATAAAATGCATTTGGCCTGTTAATCAGTTAATCTGCAGCCCTGACTGTAGATGGTATTTTTATATATTGCAGGAAAATTTACTTGAAGATCCTGTTGATAGACATATTTTATTTCTTTTTCAAGTCCTGTATTTGATGAAATTTCGAGAAATTTATCTTAAGCTTCTTTTGGTCATTTATTCAGTTTGGTGCCAAAGGCATGCTGGATGACTGGGAAGAAAATTTGGCTGTGATAACTGCTAACAGAACAAAAGATGATGAACTTGTGCTTATTCATCTGGGAGATTGTTTATGGAAAGAGAGAAGTGATGTATGTTCTGGTCTATTTTTCTGGATGCGGTTATCTATTATTTCCATTTTTTAATCTTGACTTAAAACACATGGTGTTTCTTTCTGTGAAATTATTGTTCAGATTATAGCAGCTCACATATGCTATTTGGTTGCGGAAGCGAATTTTGAGGCATATTCAGACAGCGCAAGGTTGTGTCTTGTTGGTGCAGATCATTGGAAATTTCCACGAACTTATGTTAGTCCAGAAGCTATTCAGGTTGGATGAGTTGTTTGTGGCCAATAATGCACTGTTTCACTCAAAGTTGTCAAAATGTCTTATTGAGATAGGAAATGCCTCCTGCCTAGGTGATTGAGCACTCTTCGTGGGCAGCATTTTAAAATAGAAGGACGAAAAGACAAAATTGAATAAAAACATGACACGGAGGAACACCATATACTCTTTTCCTCACTCTGTTCAACATTTCTCTCATTTGGCATGTATGATATGTATTTGATATAGCTATTGGACTGTACACATTGCCCAAAATGGCACAACAATGCTCTACCTCAAGACTTGAGCCATGCACTTGTACAGTATATATGCATAGGTGCAGAAGCTTATATAAAGGTTTATCTTGCGTATAGTGATAATTTAAGGAAGTTTTGTTTAAATTAATTTAGCCAGGCAATTGTGGCACTGGCAGTGGAACCAAGCCCGGGCACCTAGGTGGTTACCAGCGACAATTATGGTGCCAGTTGCCTGTTCATAATGCACTAAGTTTGCATACTTGTGTTTGTCTGGTTATTGGTGATGAGCCCAGCTTACTTGACCTTTGCTTGTTGGACAGAGGACAGAGATATATGAATATTCAAAGATGCTAGGGAACTCTCAGTTTACTCTTCTTCCATTTCAGCCATACAAGCTTGTGTATGCGCATATGTTGGCAGAAGTTGGGAGAATGTCAGATGCATTGAAGTATCTACCATGCTACTATTTTCAACTTATTTTTTCATATTTTTCTTTTTTGTTGTAATGTTAATGTTCAATAATTTAGGTATTGTCAAGCAGTGTTAAAATCACTTAAAACTGGTCGATCTCTGGAGGTGGAATCTCTCAGACAATTAATATCATCTCTTGAGGAAAGGATAAAAGCTCACCAACAGGTATTTCTCTATCTGCTAATTTGCATTTTGTCCAAATTTTCTAGATGCTTGTAAATATTAACATTCTTGAATGCAGGGTGGATTCTCCACAAATTTAGCCCCTGCAAAATTGGTGGGTAAATTGCTTAACCTTTTCGATAGTACTGCCCATCGGGTGGTTGGTGGCCTGCCCCCGTCTGTGCCGACAGCAGGCGGGACTGGATATGGTACTGAGTATTATCATCAATCAATGGGGCCTAGGGTATCGACTAGTCAATCAACAATGGCCATGTCATCATTAATTCCTTCCCAATCAATGGAGTCTATAAGTGAAGGGGCAGCTGATGGCAGTAGAATGACAATGCATACAAGAAGTATTTCAGAACCCAACTTCGGATTTAGTCCAATACAGGTTTGTTTAACTTTCAATCTCAGCGCCTCACTTTCCACTCAATAAAATCAAACTTCTACTGATTGATTGATGTGTTGAAACATTCTTGTAATTTGGGTAGAACTTGTATGAGATCTTGCCAATTTGTGTAGGGTCAGGCTGATTTAGTAAAGGGGGCTAATTCCACTGGCGAGCACGGTAAAGCATCATCAGCAGGAAGTACATCTCGTTTTGGCCGTTTTGGTTTTGGATCCCAGCTATTGCAAAAGACTGTAGGTTTGGTGTTAAAACCTCGTCAAGGTCGCCAGGTAAGCTTGATCAAGTTATATGTTCTCACTAAAATTGACTCAGTGTCTTGCTATTCAAATTAAAAAATTCGGTATGTATGAAAGTTTTATTATGGCGCACTGTTTCTGTTTCTGTAGGCAAAGTTGGGTGATCAAAACAAGTTTTATTATGATGAGAAACTTAAGAGATGGGTGGAGGAAGGTGCTGAACCTCCAGCTCAGGAAGCTGCCCTTCCACCCCCACCACCAACTTCAGTTTTCCAGAATGGAACATCGGATTATAACTTAACAAGTGCATTACATGGTGAAGCTTCTCATGGCAATGGAAGTACAGAGATTAAAAGCTCAGGTGGTCCAGATCATAATTCAGGAATGCCACCGCTTCCTCCAACCTCCAATCAATTCTCAGCACGCGGGAGAATGGGTGTTCGATCAAGGTAATATAAAAATTCACTCTTTTTGTGGACTGCACATTCTCGACCTTATTTGGATTGAGTGAAATATCACATGCTTCCAGAAATGGTCCTAGAACGGATTAAAGCTCCAGTCAATTTCTGAATTAAATATTATATTAAGGTTATAGTTTTGTTACTTGTGATGCCATTGGACTAGGCATATCAAAAACCATTATACTATCTCTTGCAACTTGCAATAGGGAGTTGTGCTTTGATCATATTTTGGAGAACTATTGAAATGGCTATGAGATTTAAAAGAGAAATAAATAAAAATAGTAGAAAACGCATACTGCCTGGAGGTGCTTTACACGTCATTGCTACAGCACAGATTCTGAAATGATGTGTTCACTGTTCTCTCTATAATGTGACTAGAAAGATAAACAAATGAGAAAATATGAACTGTCTGGATGTGTTCTGCATGTTCTTGGTGTAACATAGCGCATATATTGATGAACCCTCATTTGTTGCATTTTGGCAGGTACGTTGACACCTTTAACAAGGGTGGTGGCAACCCAACGAATTTGTTCCAGTCACCGTCTGTTCCTTCCACTAAACCTGCAAGCGGAGCAAACCCAAAATTCTTTATGCCAACACCTGTACCCTTTGTTGAACAGTCCATTAACACCCCCGCAAATAACATGCTGGATACTACATCTACTAATGAAAGTCCTTCTACATCCTCTACAAATGATTCATTCCAGTCTCGTGCACTTCCATCTTCCATGGCCATGCAAAAATATGCAAGCATGGACAACATCTCTAACACGGAGATGAAGAGTGGCAATGGCTCGTTTTCAGCTAATTCACGGCGTACAGCATCATGGAGTGGAAGCTTTGACGGTTCTTTCAGTTCTTCAAACAAGGCTGAAGTAAAACCTTTGGGAGAGGTATTGGGTATGTACCCTTCATCGATCATGCCAAGTAACTCTTCTTTAGCGCAACCGGGAATTAATGGGCCCGGTTATGGGGACGACCTTCATGAAGTGGAACTCTGATGCATTGAATGTATATAGTAAATTTTGCCTCTCTAATCTTGCCATGCTGGGTGCAATGCTGCTAAAGATATATCCCGAATTTTCGCACCAGGTGCATTTTGTTCGAAGGAGAGTGGGAAGTTTTTCCATTTTCTGTTTTAATCTTTTCTTTTTATTTTGTCAATTGTTGGCTCCTCATTCTCTATAATTATCTACACACTGTATGTTAAAAATCAGTTGTTACCTAGCTGTATGATGTACTTATAGAGATAGGTTTCACTGGTCTCCACAAAGTTAATGCCGTTCTTTTCTCATAATATTGGCATATTGCAAAGAAATAGTTCAAACTGTACAGTTCATTTGTTCATTTATTGAGGAAAGGAATGTAACTTCTGAATGAATTCAAGAGAGTGGACAATGTATCAAGTTGAAAGATAAAAGACGACGTGCTTCCTTTTTATTACTGCTCACCGTAGACTAGTTTGTTCACTAGATGGTATGTTTATTTTTGCCGAACGGTGTTTTTTTTCCTTAATTTTGAAGTTGGGAGTCTCTTTAATGCTATAAGTTGCAACTTTTGAATGAAGATGTGGGATCATTTGATTGAAAACCGAGAGAGGAAAGAGTGCTTCCTCATTCGAGATTATCGACAACGTAAACAAGATTTCGTAGCTGCAATGAATAATGAAACCTCATTTGAACTTCAGTTTACAACACAGCTTCAAGGGCTCATTCCTAGCAATCAATTAGTACTTGGAATTATATTAAATTATTCAGTGAAGCCATCATTTGATACAATGAATCAATGTTACATCTAATACCCCTGTAGATTTTGCAGGAACAGTTTTTGCTTACATTTGTAACCAATAAAAAGGAAAAGTCTATACTTGATTCCATGAATCAAACCACCAACCACCTCCTCCATCCTGAATCTCATCTGCAAAAGGACAAGGATTTTCCGTTGCAAAGAGACGTAACAGAGTCAAGATTTTTAGTCGATCTACTTGCACTCAACCGTGACGACCAACTTCAAAATTCAGCTGAGCCAGGTGACCTAGGGAAAGGTATTGCATCTCTGATGTTCTCTATTCCAGTTGCAAACTGCACAAGCCTTTCGAAGCCTAACCCAAATCCAGCGTGCGGAACTGAACATAAAATTTTTCCATCAATTTTTCCTTCTTAAATTTGATAGGATTCAAGGAAATGCAAAAAGAATGAGAGAAAAAATTCTTTAAGTGCTTGTCTGGAAGTGATTGAAAAGTAATTTTTTCGTAGAAAGTGTGATTAAAGAGTAGAGAAAAGTGATGGGGTGACGCGAAATATTCATTCAAAATGATTGCTGATACGAAACTGCAACATGAGAGTAGAGTCAAATTATGTGAGTCTCTCACCTGAACCATAACGCCGCAAGTCAAGATACCACCAATAGCTCTCCTTGTTGAGCTTCAATTCAGCCAACCGTTCTTCCAAATAGTCGAGGCGCTCCTCTCTTTGGCTTCCACCAATAAGTTCACCCACCTGAGAAAGAAAATCATGTTCGGCAGCCAAAATAAGTTGGAATTTGAAGAGCGAAAAACACAATTTTACCAAATAAAGGCTTCTTGGACACCCCCAAAACACAAAAAAATGAAGACTCTGGCTATAAATGATCAGTTTGAGAACATAATGCTTGATGGGGCAAAAAAGGATGTGATGGTGGAATCGATTCTAAACACACACACACACACACACACACAAGAAGTTTACAAGTTTAGCTGTGACCGTACGCCCAATTGGCACACACCATAAAAGTGCTATTTACTTAACAAAGTTTTTCCTGTAAAAGGAACGGTCTCCTGACTATTTCATCAAGCAAGGTCATAGAGTACTGGACGCTAAGATGAAGCATTGATTGTGCAAATGATCAAATATCCTTAGTAATCACTCAAGTACACGTCAAGGAAGAAAAGGTGAATGTTTCAATTACCGGAAAAATGTGGACACCATTTTACTATGTAATTAGTAACTCGTGCCACCTCACGTACATATGATGTGAACATATGATATATGCAGTTATATGCACAAAAATACATGCAAAACACATTCAGGATTAAGAAGCAATTGTTATTAAATTCAAATGATGCAAGGGTCGTGCAACTGTAATATAATGTCTCAGAAAATATGTCAACAGAGTAGTACCCGAGGAACCAACATATCCATGGCTGCAACAGTCTTTCCATCATTGTTTTGCCGCATGTAAAATGCCTTAATCTCCTGAGAGTTTTTCAGAGAAGAATTAGTGACCAGTTCTGTGTAGAGATTACTGTTAATGTGTTTTAGGTCAATATTCATGCCTTTGGATAGTCTCTAATAATTACAGGGCATCCACCAAACTCCTCTTCAGTGATATATCGTTCGTGTTCGCTTTGTAAATCACATCCCCATTGTACCTATCAGAAGTGCAGGCAACTGATTAATTTATTGACGTCTTCGGAAAAGTTAAATCATATTATCCAGTCTTCAGTATCAAATTAAGAGATGACTGGACGTCTCAGAAGAACAATCAACAATACAGTGTAAATTACTCTAGAAGGGAGGAAATTTTGCACGAGAAGTTAAGGTAGAGTGTAGCCCCCGCTTATATTCGTTTTAGTGGATATATCTTGCAAGCAGAACGAGCTTTCGTACTTGACACATTAATCAAGATTTTATAATTAATGCACTTGTACAATTAGTCCAGTATCTGGTACACCACATGATCATAAACTGACCGATGATAGCAATATACTTGGCAAAAGCATGCAAACAAGATCAATCACGAAAATGATATAACTACCAAGAAATTGCGAGTACCGGAAATTCGAATTTCTTCTTTGCTTTCAGGAGAAGCTCAACTGCGTCAGTGTAAGTCAGTTGGACAAATTTTTTCTCGACAACATCCTGTAGGACATATGATTGGAAAAGAACAAACCATCAGAAACATATATAAGCATCTACTGTGTAAAGGAGTGCGTCCAAAACAAAGTATTTAGACGCCTGACAAAAATACAAATAATTTATAATAGGATCACGCAATGTCTAGTATAAAAAGCTGGAAACCCATACACTGAGGCGTTTGATGATTCCTTTCTCAATCCAAGTATTGAAAAAATCCATATCTTCCTTGCAGTTCTCTAGAATATACTCCACCTTTCGTATAAAAATAAGGCACATTGGATGAGTATAAGTCAAATCTCAGTATTTCCAATAAGCACATAATAGATGTGAAAAAGTTACATACTACATACTGGAGATATGCAGCAGCACAGGCCATGTCATCGTCTAAGTCGGCAAATGCAAGTTCTGGTTCGATCATCTTAGAAAGGAAATTGACTGTTAACACTTTTTTCTACTGGATGTGAATTCGCTATCTTCCCAAGGAAATAACTAAAAATTGATGGAACTGAACCTAAAAAGTTTGAAGGAAATAACAAATATACCCAGAACTCGGCAAGGTGCCTAGAAGTGTTAGAATTTTCTGCTCTAAAAGTTGGACCAAATGTATAAACCTGGTAGAGAGGAAATGGCTTTGTCAGACTTTAGACCAAACAAAAAGTAAAAGAAACAGTGCAACACTGAAATAGTTTGAACAACAGTAGAAGACAATTAAGTGAAGAAAGAATAAGGTAAAAAGAATGATGGCATAATAAATTTGACAATATTTGGAGAAGTATACATCAGTAAGAGCAGTAGCATATGCTTCAGCATTCAGTTGCCCAGATACAGTTAGAAATGCAGGTTTCCCAAAGAAGTCCTGACAATATGAAGCAAAGCAAATGCATTATAAGTAATTTACCATTAAAATTTTGGAACTAATCACAGACTAGAGATCGACCAAAACAAATTACTAAGCATGAGCAGCTATTGCACTGATTCATGTAAGAAAGACGGACTAAGGTTGAAACATGATCTTACTCAACATGACAGATTAGGGTGTAGAAACGTTTATTCATTAAAATCACATTCATAAATTGCTAAAGACTAAAGTTACTTTTAACTCCATGCACCAACTTCTCATTCCCTGTCGTGTAAAAAGGAAGGAAAAGAAGAATAAGTTGATTTCCCACAACATTAGATCTCATATATCACTAGATCCGAAGAATGAAACAGTTTAAGTGTTTACAATGTTGACTAGTAAAAGATATCGCACTCCAGCTTGCATCACCGATCATGTTAATAAATATCTAGAGAAGATGGAATGCAGTTCTATCAACTCTCTTCCAGGATCCGTATACTCCCTTTAAGCCTTCTCTTTTCCTTCTACTCCAGTTTTGATAAGTTTAAACTGAAACTTTAGAGAATTTATTACTCAATTCACTTAAAAATACCACTCCATAAAAAAGCTTATACGGCCCTATACACTCCATGCCCTCTGGAAAACCATGTTATGATGAGCAGAGAAATTTCAGTATTTGTTATTGGGATCTATATGGCCCAGAATTTTTAATTGAACTCATTTCTAGAAGGAGCTATTTGGAAAGAGGAGTATTTCAACACTTACGGAAGTAGTTTAATACTGGAATATATACCGGATACATAAATAGTGATCTATCATATATACTCAAGGTTAGACATGCCAAAGCGTTTATTGCACATAATTGATTGTGTTCAATGTGGTACAAAACACATGAAGCTTTTGAATCTCCATTAACTGTAAATTGTATAGCATGCAAGTAGCCATGCCAAATTCAATATATATTGCAATATGCCAATATCATTTGATGAAACAAAATGAGATGGAAAACAATTTATAAGACATCATTTTATATATATTTGCAATAAAACACTCTGTTCCCTAGAAAATATGCAAGAAAACTATTGTCTAAGAAATCAGAAAATGAAAATTGCAATAGCTGGACTTGACACAAATAGGGGGAAGCAAATGAAGCTGCAGGAATTTGCTGATAGCCAATTTAGTGATATAACTAAAACGCCAAGCAAGTGAATATGCTGAGATTGGTTGGCTTTCAGCACATGAATTGCTGATACTACTCACCAGAACAAAGAGAAATCAATATTGACTACTCACTTTAGACCAATCAATTAAACCATCTTCAGTTTTAGGGATAGCATTCACTGGAGAGTCGCCAGGTTCTCCAGAAGTAGGAACCTGTTGGATGAAAAATAAAAAGCGATCAGATGCACCAAATGATGTGTCATAAATAAAGGCCATTCTAACATGATCAAATTCAATTACAAGGATAGAGCTCCAGGGACAGTAATAGCATATGCATGCACTGCACCCATTGAACTCCATTGGCAAGTATTAAATTTATGCCATGAATCAAACATTTGGTATAAAGGAGATAAAGAGAAAACGAAATATTGTCCCAATCCAAAGGAGGGGAGTCTCACAACTTATGCATGATTAGGAAATCAGGTGAAGTTCAGAATAATGTTCCATGTTGAAAAAGAGTACGGCAATTTTAGAGATTGAAAAAT